GCAGCCATCCCTCTTAAGTCCCTCAATCTTCAGCAACGCCGACAACCTCAATGCATTGTCAACCTGCTTCCTTGCCTTTGCGTGATTCTGCAACTCACTATTGCTCACAGTGTCGTCTCCGTCTCCGGCGAGGTCTTGGCTCGGCCTCGCCAGGTCGATGCTCATTGTTGCCGCTCCTCACATTGTCGCCGCCTTTGGTCTCGCCCAAAATCAACTGAACAGTCAGAGAGAGAAAATAGGTACATGATGTTAAGCAAAACTGAAAAAAAATCAGGCAACTGTAGTGGTCCCGTATCCTTGTGGTTGGCTTTGAATAGTTTGAGACTAGTTGCCCTGGGGTCAGAGTGAAGCGAAGGAATGATGGCTAGCTAAAAAGGCTTGACGACAGGTCACAAGTTAAATAAAGTCAATTTTTGATGCGGTGATGATGATATGAACAACTCGAATAAGAAACTGTAACTAGCACCTACTGACAGAGATCAAAAGCACACTTCCAATCGACGGTAATGATGCTCCCACTTGTGCTGCTTCCATGGTAATTTCAGCACAACGAACGGGAACACCTCACAGCAACCAAGAGCCAAGGCACTTGGTTGGTACATGTTCATAATGATCAGGTCAGTGTTAACAATAGAAGGTATGGAAAGCACTCTCTTCAGTACTAAGTTAGCAGGAACTGGATTATCTACAGGGAGCATGTTTTGTTCATCCATGAAACTTCGAAATATCTCTAAATGAGAAACTGTTTTATATGTTCAGTTAGCTATTATGTCTACCATGCGAGTTACTCCCTCTGTCCCATAATGTAAGACGTTTTTTGACTCCAGTCTGGTAACAGGTCTTTTTCTTTTAAACTGCTAACATGTTTGTTAACTGCGAGATTGTCCGATGATGCTCTCAAAACTGTCCACAAAATGTCAGCAACGGGTACTTCTGAAAGAAAAAAAAAACAGTGTTTTTTTTTTTTGGAGAATCACTAGCATTAGGTAAACCTCAACCTCACATTGAAGGCGCCAATAGGACCCAAAAATTCAACAACAAACTCCACTATAATTTTTTAAAACTTTTGACATGCCAAACCAGGAACAGAACAGAGGAGCATGCATGTTTAAGCAACAGACGCCAAGGGCCAGGTATACGAAACACACAACATATATTGATATATGCACATACAACGGCCCAAGGCGCGTGTAAGCTTTACAACTGACCACTGAGAACTACTGCGAACAGGGGCTCCAGGGAGGTTCAACAGACGAGGAGGCAGCGACAGAGAACCGCACGGCAGAGCGAGTTCCCAGTGCCGGAGAAGATGATGGACCAGCCTCAAACAAGCCCCTTGCCGGAAGCAGCTAGCTCGAGGTAGCAGGCGACCGGCTGCTGTCAAATTGGCATGTGACTGAACATGTGTATATAATAGCATTATGAGTTGAAACAGGTTCACTGCACAGTCCATTCTACAATTGTTTTGTGAACATGGAGCAATAATGGTATCAGCGAAGGTACAATGATCTTTTGTTAATCATGAGGAGTTCAAACTTCAAAGTGCCAATGAGACAACACTTTGCTGAATTTGAGAAGTTCCAGAGTTGCCAAATGAAAGAAATCCGCACTGCACAGAAACTTAGACATACTAGAACTGAACCATCAAAAGAGCTAGCAATTCAAAGCATCACCAAAGGTGATACTGCAGAGCACAAACTGATACGCATTCAGTGATGAAATCTGGATGGTTACAGAGCAAACATATCATGAACACTGATGGCCTTGTTAACGAACCATTCATTAGTTGTTCTCGCAATGTTTTCTGACACAAGTAGTATCGTGACAAGCCATCCACCTCAAATGTAGTGTAACACGCCACTCACCAAAACTGTGTTAGTAACAATATATAAACATAGTGAAATGGCATAACCTTTTTCTAGCTATGGTATCCAGGAAGCTTCAAACTGGTCATAAAAAATTAAACACTGGAATTGACCTCAGTCGGAGCCCACATCAACACCCCTTTTGGATAAGAATTCCTTTGCCTCCACAATATCCTGCATAGTAGGTCGAGCACAAATAATTAGAAATGGGAGCAAAGCAAAGATGTAATTATACAGAAAATTTAAAGTTTCAAAATCAGGTGGCTTGGTTTTATTTGTAGTGGCCATTATGAAAAGCCATATAATCATACACATAAGGGACAAACAAACTTATGGTGCCTTCTGCATAATACCTTGAATCTCATTATGCCAGCAGAAAACCAAAAGAAAAGAATGTATAATATATAATGCACAAGTGTATATTAAGCTGAAAATACCTAGGATGTATATTCTAGCGATTATTAATTCTCAACATGGCAATGAGACTGCATAGACAAAAAAAAGAGAGAGATAATTAGGCTGCTAGGACTACATCCACTACCTGCTGTAGTAGTATGGCTTCTCGAGGACAAGTGGGAAAGAACATCAGCCCATACCCAACCATGAAAAGGCCGTAGCATCCAAGCGCCACTACCAAGTAGATGGGAAGCTACAACAACAGAAGTCACAAGCAACCATCTTAATCGAAAGACAGTGTCTTAACTGCAATAAATTTGCAAGTGAAAAATTAATGGCACTCGCCAGCCAAGTATAACTGCGAGGAACTGTCGAGGTTTCAAGGAGCGCAACCCAGACGGCCGAGATCGCCGCCAGCACCGCGATGATCTTGAATATGTGCTTCATCTAGGAAATGCAGCGTTTGTCTGCCATCAATCAAAAGGGCGAATTAGAGCCTAAAATGCAGAGAGAAAAAAAATCAAACTAGAATTTGTACAGATTTGCTCCAGCAAGCATTATCAAAAACACCTATCAACTTTACCTCAAACAAAAAACCTATCAACTAAAATCCTTTCACATGTAAACTTGAACATGCTCTGTCAAAACCATGCAGCAAGTACTCATGAAGAAATAGTCATCATTATATTCTCACAATATGCAATCTAAAGCCAGTACTCATCCAATACAGAAATCAGGGAGAACATTTGAACAAGTAGAGGATGCAAGAGGAAGGACGGAGGGAGGGAGGGAGGTGGGGATGAGGGAAGAAGGAGGAAGGAGAGGTGGCTACCTGCCTATGGACTGGTCGCCGGCGTAGCTCCGGGCGGCGGAGTTGCCGGGCGGGAGCGGCTGCTCCAGGGGAGGAGGCGCTGCTGTGCTCCTGTACCGGAGGCGGGGCAGCGGAGGCTTCGGCTGGCTGGGCAGGCCGCAGCGGAGGGCCGGCAGTAGTGGCGGCGGGCCGGCGGCGGCTAGGAACCCTAGGGACGTCCTTACTCTTGGATCGACGGACTATAATGTACTTGGTGGCAAAAATTGCTAAGAGCATATTCAACAGATGATGTAAAAAACATCACTAAATTATAATTCGACTAAAATTTACATTATCAAAATATAGATTTACATTACCAAAACATTCAACTCCAATGAATGATGTAAAATTTACATCACCAAAAATTCTACAACTCCAACAGATGAATTAAAATTTACATCACCGTGGAGGTGGCCATTGTGAGGGAACGAGATCCTCTAACATCACGAAGGGATGTCAGGGAAGCTACAGTACCCTGACATCCCTTCTTCACATCCATATGATTAAGCCTAAAATGATTTGAATTAATTTGCAAATTACAAATCTACTGTATACATTTATAAAAATTACATACAAACAAAATTATGGTGCAATAAAATTAATTTCAGATTTTATTTTGTATAAACAGTACCCTGACATCCCTTCTTCGTTTTGCACTGTAGCTTCGTGACATCCCTTCAAGATGTTAGAGAATCCATTCCCCATTGTGAGGCGCACTGAAGCAGGCGTTGCCTGAGGAGGCGTTCATGGGGTCTGGCAGCGGCACGCGCTCGGCGGAAAGGTTTTGAATCATTTGGTGCTCTATTTTACATCACGGACAAATCTGGAGTAAAAAAATTGCATCTACATCATGTATTTGAGCGGCATTTTTGTGCCTTGGAGATGTAAAAATCTGTTATTTTTACATCTACTGGAGGTGCTCTAATGTAGTCATTCATTATGCTCAATTTTTAAAATTCTCAATGTTCTCCTTCTTTCTGAATTTCCTAAAATATGCAGTCAACAAATAAAGCCTGTATACCTCAGGACGCGGATTTGGTGAACATGGTTTTATGAATAGTAAATTTGAAAAATGCTAGAAAAAATAAAAGAAAATCTGAATTTTAATATACATAGTCAACCTGTATACTCGCATATGAAGTTTCATGAAGAAATCACATCCGTGGTAATCTATGGCAAAAATGACAAAATCGAAGCTAATCAAAGTTATATTAAAAACACTGTTTAATGAATAGTATGGTTGCATTTGTATTTTCTTCACTAAGAATACCATGGGTGTCAATACATCATGAAACTTCACACTTGAGTAGAATGATCGACTAAGGTTCATACCGCAAAATTTCAGAATTTTTCAATTTTTCCTAGTATTTTTTATGAATTTACTATTCACATGGGTGCACACGCACCCATGTTCACCTTTGCATTTTCAGTATACCTCATGTTTACAAACCCGAGTGACTGAAAGAAAATAAACTGGTTTAATGCAAGACTGCCATGGTTTTCGGAAAGTGGAATTATAGCACCTGATATCTTTGCTTAAACCATCGAAACAAATTTAGCACAGAATGAGGAAAAAAAGATAACAAAATGCCATATCATCTTACAATATCTGTTACACTGCTGGAAAGCATCAAAACCTTTAGGAGAAGAAAAGAAAAACATCAAAACCAATAGAACGATTTTACAACAGATCAGTGGCGCATCTTCATGTAGTTTGATGTCAAATGTACTAACTCCGTTGACTATGACTGATGAAGCTCCAACAAAGCACTTCCTGTACGTTTTTCCTGGGTGACCCACTGTTGATCTCCCACAAATGTATTATTTTGGTCAATGGATGCCTTTTTTAGCTGAAAACCAATCATTGCATTGAAGGCAAGGACATGATGATCAAGTTCGTTTCTCGTCAATTACACCTGCACAAATATAGAATATGAGCAGTGATGAGGAAGTTTATCTATATATCAATATAAATAAAATAGCACATGGAACTGGTTAGAGCAAAACCCAGCTAACTTGGCAGACTTTAAAAGGAAGCAATTCAATATAGCGACCACCATGAAGTCCATAAAAGAAAGTGTTTACCTTGAACATTTCACCAAAAAGTCCCTCCAGAGGATTCTGTTGCCGTACACCATAAAATTTTGCAGCTATTTCATCCAATAACTGCAAAGTGTACACCATAAAATGATGAGGAAGTGTAACATCATGAGGTCTATTTATGTTTGCATTCTTTATTTTTGTAAGAACAGGTGGTCTCCAACATTAAGCAACAACACAACATCGGGTTTCCCGCCCTTTTTTATTAACAAGTGGTCCTTTGTGAGAAATTCATGGATTTCCAGATGGAAAGCTGGTAAACAAGGCCAAAAGTTTGTGGAGATATGTTATGTTGAACATGTCTCACAGCGATTTCCAAATTATCTAAACATCTTTCACGGATTCACATTGTTTCATAACAATATATATAATTTTTTGATAAATAGGACTCGTGTTATAGAGCTACAAAATTTCAATAGTGGGCCATACCTCCTCAAATACACTGTCTCGATCTGTACTTGTCCTGTACTTTTGTCGAAGTGTCCTAAAAAGAGGGTAAGCATCTCTTTCAAGCCTGTAAACAACATCTAGTTAGTAATGCCCATAAGGCCATAACAAAAGAAAAGAATGACAAAATAGTTTGTTATTTCATGTATAAGATAAGAAAAGAAAGTTGATCTTCATTTACATATGGTTACAAATCAAGTACATGAGAAACTGTCAAAATATGATATCAGTCATTTCTGACATGGGCATTTGAATATATTGGTAAGGCAGGAGCATTCGTAACACCTACAGGCAGTAATTTTATCTTTCTAGCGATAGAACTATAAAAACATGTGTAACTGACGTCTGAGAACTATCATGCAAACTGCAGCATTATTTCAGAAAATTTGCATGTGGTGTATGGGAACATCGTGGAACAAATATGCAGACATGGAAAGGACACCCAAAATACAATGCAAGCCAAAAATATGAGAGACTCACGTTTGAAGAAGATACTTGATAAACTCAATTAAATCTGTTTTTGGAAGTTCCAAGTCAGCAGATTTTAGCTGCTCCTTCATCCCATCCATAAGTAAATTTGCGTCTCTGAGATTCCCTAGTGATAGATACCTTTAAGAAAGAACAACATATTAGAAAACCCGGCATCTCCATCCCCAAAATCCCAGTAAAATTCTATCCCAACAATGAGACGATATTTACTTTACAGTGTTAAAGTGTTCTTCTGTATGCATTTCAGTGTGATCACATGGAGGATATTGTGTTGAGGCAGTATATCATATTGCACGCATCCTAGCACACTGCTAACTGACGTGTATCTATCGCTGTAAATGAAACAAACATTACACAATTCCTTCACATCGGTTTCTACAGTACGAAGTGCGGCCCTTTTCAATGGTATCAGACTTTCCTCTCATACAACTTACAAGGGATGATCTCTCATGTCATGACTATGGGTCATGGTTCCAAATAAAGAGAAAGATTGTCTTGTAGGCAAACTGAAGATATTACTAGCTTGGTATTTGTATTGAACTATAGATTCATTGACATTTTTTTTGGAAGGGACGTTACAAATTGCTTGGGCGAGACCCATCTATATAATGGGCTGCTGCATCCCTTTTTTCAATTATAAGCAAACATTAAACCAAACCTCTCTCACACATCTCCATCTACCAACCGCTATCTCAATTGTTTCACCCTTCCTCTTGTTCCATCTACCAATTGCTTCTCCTCTATCCCAACCAAACCCACCTATTCTACCCTACATTAGTCCCTAGCACATAACATTACCAGAGCAAACAAGAAAGAAAGGAATGAAATCTTACATTAGGACACTGCGTGCAATTGCAGTATCATCTTCACCAGGGTAGCACTGTACAGAAAGGAAGAAAAAAGATCAATATGATTCTATATTACAAAATGTCAACAGCATATATGAATCCATTTAACACCTAACAAAAGTTGGGCATGAATAATGAACACAGATCCAACCCACAAACAGATTGGGGTATAAGACTGAGTGATTTAACAAGCTTGTGCTTGTGTTCTGTTTCCATATTTTCATATTTTGACGAAGAATGGCCTACAACCCATACATTAGTAAACCCATTGTACAGAGCAAATTGTTGTGGACAACATGGATTTACTAATCATATCGAGCAATTGCTAATTATACTAAGCAGCATTTAGGAAACCATCAGTTTTTCAATCCTCAGTCTGATTTTCAAACCGATTCTCCAAAACTGTTTAATTTGGATCCTATATCTTTCTATGTCATGTAAACCCCATTTGTTGGTTCGGTTGCTTTGACCTCCGTTTCACGCTTAGATGGACACCAGCATGGAAACCAGCAAGCAGGTAAACATTAAGGGCCAGTTCTTTTGGTGGCCTTTTTTGGGCTTCTAGAATAAGCTGCCCCCTACCCAGCTTATTCTAGAAGGCCAACCAAAAATATATTTTTAGAAGCCTACTAATCAAGTCTTAATTAATAGGTTTCTAAAAAAATAAATTTGGTTGGGCTTCTAGAATAAGCTGGTTAGGGGGCAGCTTATTCCAGCTTATTCTAGAAGCCAGCAACAGAACTGGCCCTAAAAATGTTGTGCAGTTACAATGTCTCTCTGACAGATTCACTTGTGTTTCTCCTTAGCAATCTAAACAGAGGGTGGGTGACCTTGGAGACCGATAGATGGGCCCCCACACACATGGCATCCATGTGAACGACAATGAAATGAACTATTTCACATAGATGCTGCAACAGTCAAAAAAACATGTAAAACAAACCAGGGGATATATTCATGGTATTGGAAAAAGAGGATTCAAGTTAAACGGTTTTGGAGAATGACGTGGATAAAAAACTCAGGCGATAGCTTGAAAGTGACCTTATTGTACATAAGAAGTAATAAAATCACTATGTATGTGAAAGACGTTGGAAATATTTTGGTAGGGTAAACTTTTGCTCTCTCTCAAAGAAACAAATATATATAATTCAAACAGAATTCAGTAATTACCAAGCATCATTTGTAATACCTACTGCTTAGAACAATAATTACCTTGCCCATAAAGTTTACCAGCATAGAAGCAAATTTTTTAGGATCATTACCGCGCACAAAATGACTTGATACTTTAGTCATGTCCTGCAGTCAAGGTCACTCCAGGTTAAACTGTAAGCATAATTACCGAAGTAGTAAAAATATTAACAGCATCGATGACAAATAAAAATCGTAGCTCTACAATGCTCTTTCACTTGCTTTCTAGATATCAATTTACTGCATGCATGCACCATCTAGGACTAGAGGAACATACATCATCTAAGAGCAAATAAATGGCCTAGTGAAGAGGATTAATACGATCTTTCCTAGGCATGACTTGGTTGACATGCAAATTACTCAAATTTTGCGATTCAGGAATGTAAAGAGCAGAAGATATTCACAGTAAGACACAGAATCATGGACAGTACCGTTTCTGGTGATTCCGAATAAATGTATTCACCCAACATAACATGCAGATCAGGAGATCCGTTTCTTGATGTCCCAAACTCAGCAGACCACCTTAATAGCAGGATGATACATTATTAGTGCATAACAGCCAGAAAAGGGAGAAGAAAAACACCTCCCCTGGTAACATAGTAAACAAAATAAATATGTCTCATGGCAATCGGCATGCAGAGTTTTGGACGCGCTGAGAGGAAATCAAGAGGAACCAGATGTTCAGAACGATGCATGTTCCTATCATGCCCATTAGTCACTAATGCTCAAAACCAGAATTCATAACTGCAGGTCAAGTTATCAGTACTGTTCAACAATTTGATGCATTAGACTACTGGATATATTTCCACTGATTAACACTACTGGTTTGGATGAAGTTTGATGCTTGGAAGGACAGCACTTGTGATTTACTTGGATTTATTGAAATCAATATACCTTACCTGAGAGCTCCTCTTAGAAATGATGAACAACCTTCAGAACGCACTCTTGCAGCAGAAATAGCTTCGGATAATTTCTGCCCATCATCGTCATAATCATCTCCAAGGAAATGTGGCATATTTATCCTGGGGAACGCCTCGTATATCTTTCTGACACGATCTGTAGTTGATGCAATAGAGTTAACATCACTGAAGTGACATCTAATGCCCAAGTTTACAACATGACAGCATTTAAAAAATACAAAAGAAAAAGAGAGAGAATGCTTCACTCGGCTGATTTAGTAGACACAAAAAGGAAGAAATATTATTTTCTGAATGCAAACTAGTGACACTATTGACACGATAGGAGGATTACAAAAAATGCACTGCAAATATGTCCCAAAAATCAAATGTAAAACAATAAACTTACCAAAAGTTTCTTCATTATAAGGAAATTGCCCTTTGACAAGAGTGTCCACGAACAGCACAGCGAGTTCAGCACCGCAAGTTATCTGAAATTGGTAACCACTAAAGTAAAGTCGAGCTCTTTGACCAATAAGAAAGAAAAGAAATATTTAAAGTAGTACATTAGTCAATTTAAATATTTTAT